GTCGAATTCTGTATCAAATCTGTATTGTCGACAGTGTTTGCTGTTATCTAGATGAAATTATCTAGATAAACATTTAGATGAAGCAATTGCATTATCTTTAGATAATAATAGGATGTATTATCTACATTTTTATCTGAGATGGAAAAATGCGTCATTTATCTTAAATTATCTAAGATAATGACTGCATCTAGCAAAACTCAGCTCTTAGTAAGCGCTTTATGATTCTTTAATATGTTTGGTTCTTACATTTCGATCCAACGGTGAACCAAAGGTAAGATCCAATCATATTAAAGAATCACTAAGCACTGTACTCAGTACGAAACTATAAAGAATAGACCTAAAGTATGTTGCATTATACTGCCTTGTGCGTGGTATTTTTTACTATTTTCACTACCAAATGTGATTTTTTCAGTTTTGTGCAATTTCTCTATTAATAATATTATAAAATGAAAAAGTATTTAATGAAAAAGTCTATAAGTAAATATATATTATTTTAGTTACATTTTTTCTTAATAATTTTTTTATAAAGCAATGTTATCTTAATATCATCTAGATAAAATATAATCATCTAGATAACTTTATAATTTCATCTATCATCTTGATAAACTTGAAATCATGTTTATCTTATCTAAGATAAAATTGTCTTATCTTATCTTTATCTAGATGATTTCAATATTATCTATGCACTTTTTAATTTCAATCGCATTTCCATCAACTCGCAAACCATCCGCTCCTTCGCCCACGCGATGTGTTATCCCGACACAATGTTGGGATAAATATTTGCAAACCTACTAGATATCTTCGGAGAGCTCACGTAGAAACGTAAAGAGGCGAGTATACGGTGGAAGAAATTACAAAAGGAGAAGAGAAGCATTATATATATATTCTCACATATACACATGTACTATATAGCGAGAAAGAGCTCGATTCCGCACCCTTATTCGCGCGCGGGTGGCCATTCGGGTTATCCTTTCTCTCATCCAAAGAGCGATGACGCGACGCTACGGCCAGGGATATTCAGAAAGGCACTCGCTCATCCTCAAAGATATCCGAAAATCAAATATACAAAACGAATACGGCGTCGCCGGAGCGTCGCGACTCGCGTCACCTCGAAGAAACCACTGGTGTCTTGTTTGTTGCTATCTACCATTTACTTTCTTATATAGAATCAATCAGAGAGAGAATCAGAACATTCGATAAAATTTTTAGCTATTGTACCGCAAATAAATCACTTTCCTTTCTTTTTGCAAGAAAAAAAAAATACATACGTATATATAAAGTTACCTTTAAATACATTTAAATCCTTTATTACAATATATAAAATAATATAAAATAAGAAGTATAATGATATATAAAATCATTATTTTTTCGTAATTTAAAAAGTCATATGAATGACTATTATTATTTACTATAATTTTTTAATAATAATAAGTTAATATCGTGTTAATTAAAAAATATGCGATCATCTCGGAGTCTCATAAGCATTCTGATTGATTTAAAAAGCAAACCCCGCTGGATTCAAGTGTCATGTACACAAGTTTGTCGCGAGAACATCGAAAGTTCCTCGGTTTTATGTATATATTTCACAGTAGAATTCACCCTTTCGACTTTTTCCGTCAAGTTAAATGTGCGAGTCATGTGCGCGCGAAAAACGCGACGAGATAATATCTCTAATCTTAATAATCAGATACAGCTCGGCTGGTTAATATCGTAATGTTGTCGCTATATAAGACCGATTAGGATATCGATCCAGGAGAGAATCTTGCATCATGGAACGCTCTGGGTACTAAAAAAAAACAGCATCGAGATTGATTGCTAAATCGCGATCGTGGATCATCGACGACAATCTCAAACTGGAATTATCGTCGAATTATTCAAGAAACGTAAAAATCCGCTGCGACGAACAAGTGGCAATATTATAAAAAAGAGGGATCTAAAATCTTTAAAAGTGTTCCCCATAAAAACATCAAATTACGTAAATTTAGTATTCTATTTCTTTTGTAAAGGTAACGGCATATCATGATTAAAAATATCAAAGTTGCAATATTCATCAGGGCTGCTAACGCTCTTATTAATTATTTCTAGTTAATTTGTGCGTGAGAATTGAACGTTAGAGAGAACGGAAAAAGGGAGCTTAAACCAATTTGGCACATTGCCTATTTTCCAGTTAGTTAACATGTTGGCGAAATTTGCGAAAATATCCATGACATCTCTTTTATACGATGAAAATAAAGTCGTCACCGCGCGTTACTTAACGATCGATCGCGTTCATTAATGTGTCAGTTCTGTACATATTAATAGATATCTTTTTTGAGAACATTTAATATGCAGGATGATATAAATGTATCATACTGCAATCGTGTCATCAATTTTAATACTGTTCGCTATTGTCACGATATGTTTTGCGATTAGTATCTCTAATGTTATCACATTGTGCTGTGAAAAAATATTTATAATTTATAAATTATAAAGAAAATCTATTGCTGATTAGATTTCTCATTACAAGCTAAAAAATGATCAATTATAAAAATAGTTGGTAGAAAATTTAGTTTTCTCCAACTTGTAAATTAATTAATAATAAAAAATAAATAAGAAAAAAAAAAAATATATCTATATATATAGAGTTAATAAAAAAGAAATGTATATATATGTATATATAATTTTAACGCAATGTCGAATGATCCACGATATCGACGATTTTTCGAAAGACTACTGATTACGATCTAAAATGACGTATATATTTACATAATTTCCGATACAATTACGATCACAATATCTACTAAAAAATTCGAAAATATTTCAGCGGGAGCGAGTCGCGTATTTTTTTTTTTTTTTTCCTGTTTTATTTTGTTCGACAAATTTGTGTCTGCTGCGTTAAAAAGGCCCCTTTTTCTAGGAAGGAAAAGTGAAAGATAAATCACAGAAGATGCACATGCAGAGAAGACGACACGCATCGCACATTAGTACACCTAATACATAGGGATCTCAAGGTTCGCGCAGCGAATAATAATCACCATCTCGAGTAAAAATCAGCTCTCGATCGCGTATAACTGGCATTTTTTGGCAGTTAACTTTGATACGTATATAATGTATATATTTGTATATATATGGCATATATATGCGCGTTATCACCGTGGGGTTCGGGTGATAATATATGGCCTTCTTCCACCCCCCCCCCCCCCCCGCCCCTCTTCCTTTGTCGTTTTCTAATAATAATATATCAACGCCGACATCCGCCGAAGCGGGCGAAAAGACACTTTTCCCTGCTTTATACAGAAAACGGAGAACAGCGCGCGCGAGAAATATACGAGGCACACACGTTATTATTAACGTGACTGCTGTTTGGTCGGCGCGCGATTCGCGGCCGATTGGCTCGAGAGTATAACGATATTTGCGTACGACTCCTTGCACGAGTCGTATAAGAGCAAGTGAAGGTAAAATACTTTCGTTTCCACGTATATACATGTACATCTGGTATTCGGCACCGAATGTGATCGCACGATATCGAATCTGGATTTTATAATTCAACGATTCCGAAAAAATAAATTTAAAAAAAGTAAAGATAAAAGAGAATATATATATACAAATAGAGAAAAAAATCTTAACTTTGTAATAAATAATATCAAGATTCGAAAAAAATATCTAATGGATGTATTAAACAATTTAGGACGCGTATATTTTTTACGTTTGTAATTAATAAAAGATAAGATGTAAGATTTGTAAATCCCGAATAAAATATTCTTACAATTGCCGGAATAATCCGCTTCGAATAAATCTAGTTAGATTCTGTAAACAGGTCGATTCGTCGCATTTGTGGCGTTTAATACCGCCCTTTAATGCCGAGAATATGGAGTTTGTCACCAGTTATCTATCAGAGTTATCGGCGCACTTATCAGCTCTCTCTCTCAGAATCCTTCACGCGATTACAGTCTTTTCTAGGCGCTTGTTAGCAAATTTTATTATAACTTGCAACTAACGAAATATACACCCAATGTAACCGAGAAGAGACAAACTCGAAGCCATTTCTCAGAGCGACGCGACATACTTTTCCCCTCTCGCGAAAGATAAACGGACAGACTCGTCGACCTTCGGATCGGAAGTTTCGTTCCTCCTGGAGAACCGGCGATCGATGGCCGCTCGCGACCATCCTGAATTCTTATGTAACACTAGCATGTCTCGAAAAATTCTTCCGTTTGACAGAATAGTTTTTCTCGGGGATTCGCGCGATTAGGCTCACATTATTCTATGACGTTTCGCGAGAGATTACACGCAAAGCCAATCGATAAGATATTAGGTGTGCTTGGCATTTCTAAATGGATGGGTGTTCATACCCTTGATACCTTTTTTGACTTTAATGGCATTATCGCGCGCGATTCGAAGTAGTTTCTCGTAGAACAAGAATTTTGTTGTGGCTTCGTATTTGAGCAAGGACGAATGTAATACTTTTCGCTAATAACTTTGGTTTACGATCGTATTTTGTTCGTGCAATTCTATCGCAAAATAAAATCGTAAATTTCTTTTAGAAAATTTACCGCAAAAAAATAGAGAGAATACTGACCTGCATTCCTCTCGATCTAGGTGATGCTAACAATTCTCGATCACTGTCTCGATACTCTGGGACTGAAACGACCAATGTGTTGACTTGTTCCTTCAACTAGGACGAATAAATATTTCACATCATCGTAAAATCAATATATCCGGATTTAAAAAAGTCCGCAAGTTTCTTCCTGAATATATAAATCTTGAGAAAAATCCTATTTAAATTTTAGAGCCATAAATTTTGAATTCCACAGAGGAGAACATTACACGTTCCAGTTCCACGGTATCGGATTTCTATATATAAGGAACTAGCGAATTTTTTGCCGGAAAAATTTCATCTCGGAAGCATCGCAAGATTTATCATTGCGTTTTACAAACGCGACATCTCAGACGCGACTCGCCCGTCGCTCCTTCCCATTTCCTTCCCTTTTTGCCGTTTTTTTTTCTCCCTCTTTTTCTCGTATACTTTTACCAATCTGTGTCTCCCTCGCTCCCCGCGCATCGATATATCATTGAAAAACCGCCGCGTGCTTCCAGCGGAATCGCGGCAGGAATACGCTTCGATGCCCAACATGCCACCAATAAATTATCAATAGTGTGTTATATACGATTCCGGCGGGCATTGAATCTCTCCTCGTCGACATACACGTCGGAAAAGTACCGCGTGAAACGAATCGTTCCGATCTGCTAACGATCTTTCCGATCGCGGTAAGATCTAGTCTATCTTTCTTTATCTACGTCTCATCTACATGTTGGCTATGGAGGGGAATCGATTGAAATCATTCCTTCTTCCTTTCTTCTCGTCTCAACGATATGGCCGATTAAGCGATAAGCGATCCGCAAACAATAACGAGGGCAATCGGTAGCAAGATCGTCGATGATTTGGCGCCGCTGATGACTTGCGGAGGAGCTTTCGTCGATAAATCTGAAATGAAGAGATATGCAAATATGATATAATTTTGACGAACCAATTCTTTCGATCTTGACGAAAAGAAAGGAGCCTTCTTATAACTTGAAGCTAGATAAGAAATGGTCTTATTTATTTCATCGCGTGATTTTGCAATCGCAGTTGCTCTCTCCCCGCCAGTTATATGTCACTTGCTTTATCTAGAAATATTTAAATGTTTTCGCTGCGACACATATTCTCGGATAATAATACATGATCTATGCAGTATGACACATAATTATTTTGATAATTGGAATTCTGCTGAGAATATATTTGCAGCCGCTTTCGCGTCTAATAAAATTTTGATTAGTAACTGGATTAATTTCTTCCATTATATTTTTTGTCAAAAAGGCTCATTTCCTTTCGTTCGAACGCATATTCTCGGATAATATATTCGCTACTGCGAAAACCCCTGAGGGCGAAGCTCCTTTACAGACAACGATACACGCTGTATACAGAATCCAGCATCCGGCAATGGAGTTCCATCAGGGATATATATCGGCCGGATTATCGAAATGCAAATCAATGCGGACGTAATATGGCTTACAGGATACAGGATACAGTACCTGACGTGATCGGACCCGTTCCGGAGCCGGACGCCTCGTCGTCATCGCGATCGTCATCGTGACCGTCCTCGTCGTCGTCATTCTCGCCGTTAACGTGCTGCCTCAAATCCGGGCTGTCTCCGCTTCCGGAACCGTCCAGGGCCTCGTCGCCCAGGAAGGCACCGGCGTCGGGCGACGACGCCAATTGCGTTTGTACCAGCTGTCAAGAAGACACAATGGATATCAAATACATAGTCGTGAGTTATTATCGCGTAAGATATCAAATTTCTTTTCTAAAAATATTTATGTTATTTAATCATTTAAAATTTTTTTTTTTTTAAAGTAATTTATATTTATTCCTGAGAAAATATATAAAATTCTGTAACTCTGTCATATTAATTACTGTTCAGTGAAATACTACTCGTTGCGTGTGATATAGTTACACAATTACCTGTTTAAGCAGAGTATAATTGAAATCGTCGAGTATGCGAGATAAAACGTAACAATTTTCTAAAATTAACGGTTATTATGAAAACCATGAAAAAGTCATTCATTCAACGGTTCTATAATCATGAGAGAAATTATGGCGATTAATTTTGTCATTGGTAACTCATTAAGGTGTCCCATTTACCCAAAGATCTCTATTAACCCATTTGACTCTATATATGAATAACGTCCAATTAATAGCTGACACTCTCAATTTAAACTTAATCATCGTCGCGCACAATGTGACGTAGATTTATATTCTGCTAAAATTCGCCGCCGACACAAACCTTTAATCCCACGGCCGCCCCGTAATCATTACTCAAAGCTCTCTCGCACCTGCCAATAATATCTCTAGTTCACTAATTAACGGTTTTTCCACCTATACTATATCATAGATATCATGCACATGTCGTGCGTTGCGTATACATGTATTATATATACACGGTGAATATCTGAATAAACTGCGTGAATTCTTGCCATCGTTCAAGCATTCGAGAAATTTCGAGCAAATAATTTAAACGGAGTGAAAATTTCATTTTTGCAGGATTGCGAGATAACGAAACTATTTAGATGAGTCGTTTTTATCGGAGAATAACCGCTCGCGCGACGTAACCGGCAAGATTGATCGTGACACCGTGTATACATGCGTGTTTCACGACACTCTAATCAGAAGTAAGCGGCCCGATTTCTCGGCACGCGAATTAACATGCGTGTGGGCGCTATGTGTCTGTCCCACACGCGACGGTTGCCAACTTTAACAAGGCTAAGGGTTCTGTTGAAGAATACGAAACGAGACTGAAAGATGGAAGCTACAAACCGCAATAAAATTTTTCTAGAAAAAAGGCTCACGCTTATTTAGAGAAATTTATCCCGCAATTTTAATCTTTAATAATATTTTCAGCCAGTAAATTATAATAAAGTTTTCAACATAATTAGTTTTATAAATATATAATTCTATAAAATTATTGATCGCATAATTATTTCCTAGAATCTTGGACATATATTTATATATGTAGTCCTAAGCATTTTTGCAGGATTGCGAGATAACGAAACTATTTAGATGAGTCGTTTTTATCGGAGAATAACCGCTCGCGCGACGTAACCGGCAAGATTGATCGTGACACCGTGTATACATGCGTGTTTCACGACACTCTAATCAGAAGTAAGCGGCCCGATTTCTCGGCACGCGAATTAACATGCGTGTGGGCGCTATGTGTCTGTCCCACACGCGACGGTTGCCAACTTTAACAAGGCTAAGGGTTCTGTTGAAGAATACGAAACGAGACTGAAAGATGGAAGCTACAAACCGCAATAAAATTTTTCTAGAAAAAAGGCTCACGCTTATTTAGAGAAATTTATCCCGCAATTTTAATCTTTAATAATATTTTCAGCCAGTAAATTATAATAAAGTTTTCAACATAATTAGTTTTATAAATATATAATTCTATAAAATTATTGATCGCATAATTATTTCCTAGAATCTTGGACATATATTTATATATGTAGTCCTAAGAAATCGGATTATATCGATCAGCTTTGAGCACCCATGTGCGTTTTCAGGTGAGTCTACGCAACGCGCGACACGTGCTTACTCGGCGCACCGTCTGCGATCTTTGCCTGACTATGAATAATTCTAGATTAGACGAGAATTTATGATTTGTCTGCTACGTTCGTCTGGGAGTTACAGGTCACCGAGCAGGTTTTCCGCATCAATGAGCTATTGCAATAACCGTTTACGAATCGTTAACAAGCCGCGTGCTGCGCGACACGATCTGTATATCCAACATGTAAACCGAAAAGAAATTTTCAATTAATTCGATCGGTATTTCGCATTTTATTAATAATAAATAATTAATCTAATTACTCAATTAGTTATCAAATATAGTTTTATAATATAATTTATTTTTAATTATTGTAATTGATATAAAAAAGATTTTTTTGGGTAAGCTCTCGAGCAATTTGTTCGAATCTGCGTACGTGACGAGTGTCTTTATCACCGAAATCTCGGAAAGAAAGGAAGAACGTAATTTTTGCTCTTCTCGTTCGAGAACATTGCGGATTCCTTTTCGATGACCATCGACCGTTCGTCGCGTTTGTCGCACGGTATGTTTGAATCGACGAGCGAATGAAAATTGCGGCATCATTTAATCCGAGGGAGACGAATCCACTCAAGACCGAACGGTAAATTACGACTTGATGCACTCACCTGATTAATGTGCCTCAATTGGTCAATGAGCGCGCTTATGTTCGTGTTGCCGGCGTAGGTAACCGGTGTCGACGACGTCGTTGTAAACGTGACTTCAGGATTATACTTCTGAACATTCGGACTGGAATCCACCACGGTTTTCGTATATCTGAAATAACACAGAATATTGCGCGATCGTTAGGTTCAAATTTATTCCGCAAAATTGCATTGTAAACAGGTAAATGTATATTATTAGAATCTTAATCGGGTGCAATATTTTGATGAATAACTAAATTAACGCGCTTGATAACATAGTTGCAATATCTCCTCCAAGACCAACAAACTTGTCATCAAATATAGAACTAAAAATTATAGTCCTCGCGAGTAATCTTAACGTATGTCTAATCCGGTGTACTGTTTTCATTGACGCGCTCGTAGAAATGGCGATGCGAACAATACATGCGATACATGTCGCATTCATACATAAGCGCGGTTATCTTCCGCGCTTCTATCTTTTGCGGGGTGCTGACCGACAAAAGAGACAAATCGTGCGCACTTCGCGGAATGACGTCTTCCGTTTTCGATCACCACGCGATTAAGCGTCCATGAATCAATGAACCGGGAACATATATGTCCGCGAATAGTCCAGAGGCCAGTAATACTTCATTGTCGCTTTACGCAAAGAGAGAGAGAGAGAGAGAGAGAGAGAGAGAACGCGGCTATTTATCATTACATTATATTTGTTATTGCGGTAGATAATTATCGTGAAATGTGCGTTACGAGATAACGCATGGGAGATGATACGATAATTAATTCGTCTGTATGTTTTTAAGCAACATTATTATATATATATATAAAATGATCTCAAGAATTTACCCTTAAGCGTTGTTATGGTCTTTACGGGACACCTTGTATATACCTCTAAAGATCTCCATTACTTCGCTTCTCATCAATTTTATTTCGCTATTATTTCCACTATCCGCCGTGAAAAATATTACATGAAGCGCCAAATAGGCGTGCCCGAAGTATTCACTAGAACTAAAAATTATAGTCCTCGCGAGTAATCTTAACGTATGTCTAATCCGGTGTACTGTTTTCATTGACGCGTTCGTAGAAATGGCGATGCGAACAATACATGCGATACATGTCGCATTCATACATAAGCGCGGTTATCTTCCGCGCTTCTATCTTTTGCGGGGTGCTGACCGACAAAAGAGACAAATCGTGCGCACTTCGCGGAATGACGTCTTCCGTTTTCGATCACCACGCGATTAAGCGTCCATGAATCAATGAACCGGGAACATATATGTCCGCGAATAGTCCAGAGGCCAGTAATACTTCATTGTCGCTTTACGCAAAGAGAGAGAGAGAGAGAGAGAGAGAGAGAGAACGCGGCTATTTATCATTACATTATATTTGTTATTGCGGTAGATAATTATCGTGAAATGTGCGTTACGAGATAACGCATGGGAGATGATACGATAATTAATTCGTCTGTATGTTTTTAAGCAACATTATTATATATATATATAAAATGATCTCAAGAATTTACCCTTAAGCGTTGTTATGGTCTTTACGGGACACCTTGTATATACCTCTAAAGATCTCCATTACTTCGCTTCTCATCAATTTTATTTCGCTATTATTTCCACTATCCGCCGTGAAAAATATTACATGAAGCGCCAAATAGGCGTGCCCGAAGTATTCACAGCGTAACTATAGTACAATAGATAACTCAAATTGAAATATCGCCAAAGTCGGAGATTCCCGAGTCCTCTCGGTGCTCCTGAATACCAGCCATTCATGGAACGAGCTTCTTCGAGAGGGATCGTTCCTTCACCCCTCTTTCATCCCTCGTCGCGACTGTGCACATGTCGCGTTCCTCAGTTTTCCCGCACCATCATCTTCCAGCGATTTTCCTCCCTCTGCTCCTTTTCCGCTAAATCACACCCTGCGGCGATTCCCATATATTTTCTTTTAAAGTCTTATACAAGGTGCGCAAGTTTCCTTTATATATGTAAACTCTTGGATCAATTCCTAGCGCTTGCAATTTTTAAGATGCAAAATAGATGATAATTATAAAATTATTATTTATTAAGAAAGAGATGAGACGTAGCATATATCTCGTATTCTCTCTCGCACCCTACCTGTCGCTCCTTTCTCCTCTCTCTGCTTGAGTACCTCATCATCTCTAACGAGTACAATCCGATCTCCGATCTCGATGGCGCAGAGACGAGGAACCGGATAAAACGGACCGACAAAAACTGGTTCTCGGCGATCGAATGCGAAAACTACCCAGGCGAAAACTGCATTTCCACCTCGATGCGCGTACAAGATATTTGATAATTGGCGTCGCAACCGAAAAAGAAACAAGAAGGAAGAAAAACGGAAATAAACTGGATAATTCTTCGTTCAAGGATATATTACTTTGCACCTATTAAGCGAATTCCGTTCTAGAAAATAATCTTGTCCCTTGATATTCGACACTTTTGATCGACGCTTTTGTAATTAAAGCTTAAATTAAGCTTGCATTCAAGCAGAGTTTGCTCGAGGAAGAAAAAGAGATAGGGAGAAATTGAATAAAGAACATAAAGGCTTAAAGCTCAATTCACAAAAGCTTTGATTTTCAATATGCTCATAACTTGGAAGCTCTTTTAAAGCTCTCGATTCTCTTCTCTCGCGGAGAAATGCTCGCTGCAAATTGGTCAAAGAATCCGTGAATGGAAAGGGGAACGCAGGGAACACCCTTTATATACCGCATATAGATGGTTCAGCTAAAAGCGTATATGCGCGCATCGATTTGCAACGCGGCCGAGAAATGGAACGTGCTTTGGGGCAGATTAATATTTCAATGCCGGGAAAGAGCGCCGTTAGAGATGCCACTATTATTCCGCGAATTCCAAAGGCATGCACGGAAGAAGCCACATCATCATCGTACGCGATATGAGACATCGGTATTTGTGGTGCCCGATCGAAGTACGACCATACAAACTTAAACATCCTGCTTTTATTTTAGCAGATAATATTTATATTTTACAACACGTTTTTAAATATTGCTAAATCAGAATAATAATCGTGTTTATTTTAATGTCTTACATTTAATAATCATTATTCAGAAAGCAAATTGATACATTATTAATATTTTATGCTTTTGCGAAGAGGGGTGGTCGTCCAATTTTTTTTTTTTCGTAGAATCCACTATGCTGAAAAAATTAATGAATTATTCGTATAGAATATAAATAAAAGTGGAACTTGGAACAATTCATCGTCGTCGAGTTAATTTAATATTAATATTGTCGCAGGATCCAACAGTGCAAACGAAATAGTAATTTTATAAAAGACCAATCCAATAAAGATAAGAGTGCTGTAATGAAGAATAGCTTCGTTTTACAATCGCCTTAACTAAGCTTATTTCATGTAAGAAGGAGCGCTTTCGTAATTGAGCGAATGAACAACAAGAAGTTTGCTCGATTATCGCGGTGGTTCGTTGATCACAATGAAGCGCTAAACTAAAGCAACTAAATTAATCGCGGCTAGTCTTCTTAATGGCCGGATACAGCGCGGTTCTCACGTTCATTGTTAGGAGATATGCCCGATCGTTCGTGTCGAGAAAATTACAATTTGGCAGAAACAAAAGCCGGATGAGTGTCGCAAGTGAGAAAAAAAACAAAGATTATTATTTGTATAAATGAATAAATTAAAAAAAAAAATTAATTGTGACATTGCGTTATAAAATAAAAAGGTAATAATGATTTATCCTTTTTCAATTATAATCAGGGTGTCTACTTAAATCCTGTAAAAAATTTCTCTGAAAATTCCCTGATCTTTCAGGTATTTTTGTTCAAAATTCCAGGTAAAGAGAATATTTTAAACATTTTTTGATGCAGTTTCCTAAAATAAGTTTTTTTATTGTACGCCTTTTCTAATGCTTTTCATTCATACGAAGGAAAAACACAAAGTCACTTAAGTTTCAAATGCTAGATTTACAAATATACTGAAAATAAAACTGAATACTTCTCGTTAAAATAAAATTTTTTAACTTGCATAAAATTTTTATTACTAAAAATTAAGATAAAGAATATGTATTGCAAATTTAATATTTTGTTAAGACATTGGCTGTGTTTCGATATTCACTGCCAGTACTGAAAAAAATCTATAGCGATGTGACGTATATGTGACATAAACTATAGATTTTCAGTACTGGCAGTGAATATAGGAAAACGGCCAATGAATATATAAACAAAGATAGATATATATTTATAATATATTTTAAACACATAATTCACAACATGGCTTATTGACGGATTGTCTACTGCTTACAGTATAGTAGCAAAATTATCAAAGAGAATTTTAAGAAAAATGTCCTGAGTCTTAACAAAATTCCATGAAAATTCCCTGATTTTTCCAGGTATAAAAAAATTCCCTGAGAATTCCAGGTTTTCCATGTTTTTGTAGGGAGTAGACATTTTAATGATGAATTTTTATATAACTTAATTGTAACTTGAAATTAAAAATCTTTGCTTTTTATTCAAGATCCATTGCAAATCCATTTATAGAGTTATCGTCAAAGCCGGATCTTCGACTTACTTCTGAAAGAGAAGCATTTTTATCGACGTTCTTGCGACAAATGGACCGAGCAGGGCTCTCTATGAATGATTCTGCTATTCGTGCGCGTTGCTGCACTAGAACATTGATATTCCAGCGGATGTTATCTCTCGAAGTCTTGGCGCATATATACCGTCATCCGTTGGCATCACATTGCGAATGCATTATTTATAACACATATCGTCCGCGCAATTCGTTCCCATTCGAACGATGTATCGGATAAACATATGCTAATATATCGCTCGTCGTGTCCGACGTCAACCGACTGTGTCGGTGAAGCTGCAACTAAATTAGAAGTACGATCATATCGTCGATGACGTACTGCGTGCGCATTTCTTTTATAAAGTCTTATTAAAAAAAAAGAAATAAAAAAAAAAAAAAAAAAAAAAAACAGAAAAAGATGACTCCATCCAATAAAAATAAATTATTACGAGAGATTGCGTTGTCTTAAAAATGTTATATTAAATTTTTATCTTCTTTTCACATTTATATGTTAAAAATAAATAATTTTTCTCCACTTAATTAACACGTACAGAGCTGCAATATTTTACAATTCACAATTGGAACGGTAAATGGAAGAATGAAGATAAAGCATGAATGAAAACTCTTGGTTTTTGTGTGGAAAAAGGAATAATATAAAACTTTTTACGTAATTTCATCTGGAGGACAAAACTTCATTAATAACTAACGGATGACCAACCTCCAACTATTCTACAAAATAAAAAGAATTAAATAAAAAGATTAATAAATAGCGTACTCATCTCTCGATTTAATTATAAAATCTTTCGCTAATATTACTTGAGTTTTTACGTCGTAATTCGCATAACACACGGTCCAATTAAATCCCATCGTCCCGAAGCAGTCGCCTGTTTGTCAGCGATCTTTCCTCGAGGCACAGGACGAGAAACAGAGATCGATGAATATGCGCGTGAGCGCTCGGCGCATCGTCATCCCGTCGTCCGTCGCGGAGGAGGTGTCGCGAGGGGAATTCGCGATGTTAGATTGTACTGCGCGTATGTATTCGTCTCGTCGATGATCCAGTCATCGTCGGGGAACTCGCTTTCCGAAGCGAATACGTGATCGCCGGTGGCCGGCCCTCGCGCGACGCGAGGGGAGACGAGACGAGACGAGGCGGGAGGGGGTGGCTCTTTCCGGCCGTATCGGGCACAGACGATATACGGTTTCACAGCTCGCGATTCACATATCAGGTTCCGCGGTTCATCACGTCGATCGAATCGACACGGAGTGCGTGAAGCGCGGGGACGCGCTTCCATAACGGAATTAATCGGATTAAACGTTCCTGCGTTTATTTCACGGACACACGCGTAACGCGTGTCCGTTCGCCGCAGGTATTTTAACGATGACGTGTCGAATTATCGGCAATTACGCGCCATTCGAAACGAAGAATATTATTCGCGATATTCATGAAGAATCTGCTTTGCGATATCTTGGGTTAAATCTAAATTTTTAAAAGTAAAGGCGATAGAGGAATAAAGCCTATTGCACAATGCTAGGCGATAGCGATAAGCGATATCCAATGAGAGCACTGCTTTTCGAAAAAGCAGTGCTCTCATTGGATGTTGCCTATCGCTAACGCTATCGTTTAGCATTGTGCGATAAGCTTAAAGGTGTTGTGTTTCGTCGTGTGTAACACACGCACGCATATGTATATAGGGCGTACAAATTTTTTGTACATGTTAGGAACATTCTATATGTATATTATAATCAGGGTTGGGTAAGTTATTTTTTTTTTTTTTTTTTCTTTAACTAAGTTAAGTTTAAAGTTAATGGCCCAAAAATTAACTAAGTTTACGTTAAAAGTTACTTAAACAAAAATTAATTAATTTATCAGTTAAAGTTAAGTTGAAAAATTATTAACTTAAAGTTAAAAGTTAATTCTCTATCCAATAGCGAATCGACACATCCGACAAACTCGTACGACAAATGAAATATTTGCATTAAAATCAACCATTTTCACACGACTTTAATATTGATGAATTATTTTAACTTGTATAAAAAAAGTTGATAAGTAGTTAATAATAAGTTAACGTTAATGCATTTAAAAATAACTAATTTAAATTAAAAATTAACTAACAATAAGTTAATTTAAAAGTTATTAACTTTTTAACTTAATTTTTAACTGTTTAACTAGTTACTACCCAACTCTGATTATAATCATTGTATTCTTTAAAAATACTTCAGTGCCAAAGCCGTTACAAAAGTCCCTCAATCGTCCCACGTGCGCGCGCGGTCCAACGCCTACCCCTTAATTGTCTCGCGCAAAATCAAGACTAACGAGGGCCTAATCTCGCGAAATGTGACTCTGTATCCGAGCGATCAACTCGGCGCGGCGGAGCACTCAAGCGGCAGCAAAGCAGCGAGAAATAGCAGGGCGAATGATCTTGCGACATCGTGACCTCGTGGCTGAGATGTTTGGCTGGCTGCTGCGTCGTTCAGTCGACGCATCGCGAACCGCGCGCGCGCAAACACACACACACATACATATCCACATGCATTTAAACGTATAAATGTATACGTTATCCGTACAGTATCCGCACTCACACGCGTGCCTCCTTCAGGTACCCGGCGACGCAACGGCGCCCGTTTCCTCTCGTTGCCAGACTCTTTGGCGGCTTGGCGTCCTACAGGCTACGCCGCCGTTTCCTCTCCCCGTCCTCACCCTTCCCCGGCCTCACCTCCTCATCATTCTCTTCCTTCTTAGCATCGATCTCTCTCGCGATTCCACGGCTCTCTCCCTTTTCGTACCGTTTCTCCAACGACATCGTCTTCGCCGAAGATGTCTCGCTCGAAGAAAATGACCAAGTTTTATTTATTTATTTATTTATTTTTTTTTTTTTTGAGCTTTCTCATCCCTCTAATTAATTTTTTTAAGCTTTCTCACCCCTCTATTTTTCTGTTAAAATTTTCTGGATGAAAATGCCGTTATATATTATATATATCGTGCTACAAAGGTAATCTATGAAGAAATCACACTTTGTATTCCGTTTAATAAAAATTTAAATTATATTAATTCTTTTATGACATCCATGAAATATGAATTCCGGTACACACTTTTTTAACGGTGATCTCAAATAGCGTGTTTATTTAAATCACCGTTGTGACATATCCGTGATAATCGTCAAACCGTCAGACAGAGCTCAATTAAAATTTATTATTACATCTCAATTAATTTAATTCATACCCATGTAATGCCCAAGGTTAATTAAATTCGTCATTACGTAACGTGTATTAATTCCGGGCAGTCCCTAAATATTACGAGAGGCTTTTTCAATCAACCCCTCGCGGAATCGAATTACCCGGATTGGCGAGCGCGCTCCATCGAGGGTTAACAGCCGGTTTCACTTTCCGCTCCGGATCGAAATCGCGCGGAATCGCGACGGCTTCCTCGACGGATCGAATCTCATTTAGATTTTCACCGTGAGATACTATACGCCGTCTGTGAGAACCGTCTGCGAGAGAAAGAGAGAGAGAGAGAGAGAGAGTTCTTCCGGTGGAAACCGTGGCACGCGAACGGCGCGCACGCGCGTGTATTTATAAGCTTGTGTGCGTCTGTGCATACCGAGCGTGGTGACCGCGCGAGAAACTTCGCGTCAGCTTGAGTAAACCGGGATTTCGAGAGATTTAACAGCCGCGTCTGCCGAGAATACGTTATCGGCGGCTCTGTCTCTTTTTCGCGATAACCGCCGCTGCAGCTGCGGGGAGAGACACTTTTGCAACACTCCTGTAAAATTGCATCCGCGCGAGATTCCACCGCGTATCTCGCGCGCGCGCGCGCGTGATGTTTACGCGAAGCCTTCCGCCTCGCGTGGAATACAAAAAGAGAAGTGAAATATGCGCGAGGGGAAAAAATTCCGTGTGACAAGCCAAGTGTGCGGAAGGTGTCGCGTGACGCGTTTCGTTAAAGACTTTACTTCTGCCGCGTTTCTGAAATGAGATGCGTTATTTCCGAGTGTAAAACGCCTCGCGGCAATTTAGTTGGAAACTTCTCTCTTGCAACGCGGGGCCACCCAAGTGTATATTTAATTATATATTTTGTAAACATTCTATATAAGATTTTTCGATTTAGTTAATTCGCTTAATCTTTTTCAGGGTGATAACTAGTCAAAAGTTAAATAAAAAGTTGAAAAGTTAATAACTTTTAGCTTGACTTAGTTAATTTTAAATATGTTAATTTTTAACTTAGACTAGTTATTTTTAAATGCATTAACGTGCATTTAACTTATTAACTTTTTTTTATACAAATTAAAATAATTCATCAATATTAAAGTCGTGGTTGATCGAAAATGGTTGATTGTAATTGTTGTTGCGAATATTTCATTTGTTGTACAATACAGTTTGTCGGATGTGTCAATTCGCTGTTGGATAAAGAATTAACTTTTACCTTTAATAAGTTAATAATTTTTTAACTTAACTTTAACTGAGTTAATTTTTGCTTAAGTAACTTTAAATTTTTGGGTCATTAACTTTAAACTTAACTTAGTTAAAAAAAAAAAAAATTAACTTACCCAACCCTGATTTTTTTTTTTAAACGATTCGTTTTACCAATTAGCACTCGTAAGAGAAGATATCTCAAATTTTACATTTATAGAAATACTCTTACGTCAAGGTATAACTTTTCAAGCGGTTTAAATCATTGAAGAGAAACACACTAAATTGACGAATTATTCTTCGGCAAAGATAACATTTAGGAAATTTCATTTAAACGTTCAGCTGATATACGACGTTCGATTATCTTTAGAATTATCTTCCGCGCGATCAGTTATATATTATCACTGGAGCGAATCCCGTTTCAATGCCATTCTCATAGCCATTCTCATTTCACGGTCGAGTAGCAGCATCTCGAACATCGTCTTCGGACAATGGTTGATAAAGGCGGAAATGCCTCTCTTCTCGAATCGCCAATCAGCTGACTCCTCTATCTCTATTCGTCGATACGGAATTAATTAATTGACGGACCCGTCTCGATTAGACAATTGATCAAATCGGCACGATCGGATAATTCGACGCGAGAATCGATCGGTCGATCAAATTCCTAAGCAGGCTGTCGCGAGATCTGGAAGGCAAAGGGAAAAGAAAAGCCCGGTGTGAAGGGCACTTTAAGACGAGGCCACCCGGCCGTTGATTAATAAGGGTGCGAGAGAACTACCTTCGCGTTCCATTCTCTTCGAGTTGCTCCTCGTCGTTCCCGCTTTCGCGTCACGATCGTTCCCACGCATTCCGCGGCGGCTCGGATTTTGAGCGACGGCGGTTTCGATTAACGAATCGCGCGCCCATTTATTCTCCATCGTTCATTCGGCCGTCTCCCTCTCTCTCTCTCTCTCTCTCTCTCTCGGCATTATATTATTTTTCTTTTGTTGCAATAGCTCTCTTTTATAACCAGGGTTGGGTAGTAATTACTTAAACAGTTAAAAGTTAAATTAAAAAGTTGAAAAGTTAATAACTTTTAACTTTACTTAGTTAATTTTAAACGTGCTAACTTTTAACTTAAATTAATTATTTTTAAATGCATTAGCGTTAACTTATTAATTTATTTTATACAAATTAAAATAATTCATCGATATTAAAGTCGTGTGAAAATGGTTGATCATAATGCGAATATTTCATTTGTCGTACAACAAGTTTATCGGATTTGTCGATTCGCTGTCGGATAGAGAATTAACTTCTAATTTTAATGGGTTAATAATTTTAATTGAATTAATTTTTGTTTAAGCAACTTTTAACGTAAACTCATTTAATTTTTCAACCATTAACTTTAAACTTAACTTAAGTTAAAAAAAATAAAAAAATGATTTTTTAAAAAAAAAAAAAAAAAAAAAAAGATATTTAATATTAACAGGGTTGGCAAAATTTCACATTTTTTAATAAAATCCATGCCAATAAAAATCGTTATTTTCGGGGAAAAAACGGGCTAAAATTGATCTTTTCTATTAAAAATATTATAAAATAAATAGGAAACCTTTTTATCGCGATATTCGTTAATTGACAGTGTTTTTTAATTTAAGCTTTATTTAAAATAAAATCCGTAATAGATTAGGAATCGATGTAGCAAGTAAATTAGTTTTTTATTACAAGTTAAATGGATAAATGCGGAAAAATTCATGGATAAAGAACGGGGCTCGCTAGGTGTCTGACTCCGTACGTCAATGTCGCTGCACCTGGCTGTGCGTGTACGCATAAAGACCGGCTCGCATAAGAGAGCCGGCCACGGCGCGACGTTGGAAAGTGTCGCCTGCGAAACAACTCGTTCCCATTTCGAACGACGTCAATTTCTCGACGATTTAATAGGCAACGCGCCCTGACAGTTTTTACACTCGACCGCGTCACGGCACGTTTCGGCGCGTTCACGCGTTAATCAAGACATACGCACACGCGTACGCTCATGTATGATTGCATCTCGAAGAGAGTGTCGTCCGTTCTCGAAAACCACCGGTCTTTTTCTCGGACATTTTTTCCGAAGCAGTAGAGAAACACGTAAGAAATTTCACGACAGCTGATGATGATATTTCTAGACAGCATCGTTTTAGGATTTCGCAAGACTTGCCGGGAAAATAGTATAACGCGAGTCTTTTTATAATGTAATGTCTGTCTGAACTGTCCAGAGCCCGAAACGTGGCTTGCCAAAAGCGCAACTTTTCTCGTCTTCTTCTCCGCACGCCAGCCTCACGTACATATGTACATGTGTATGTATATATATATATATATGCTGCGTGTGTACGTGTACACAAACCTAAGATAATCTAAGGTACATTCACAACGATCACGTACAGGGACTGGCAATATTTCAAGTAGTTTAAGTTACAGATTGTAGATTGCTATTTGTGAATCACGTATAAAATGTTACGATTGCGATCACGTGTGAAATTATCAAATCATATTCCTCAAAAAACAAGCGTAATTTCACCGAAAAAGGATTTAAAGATCCACATATGGAGAATTCCAAAAATTAAACGTTTTAAAGCATCGTCGAAAAGTTTAATCGCAAATATTATCCCTCGAAGCGAAAACTCTCTATTATTATTCTTTATCGAAATAAAAAAAAAATATATTTAATTATGTTAGATCAAAGAGAATTTTTGTTCATCTTTGGACAAACATTTATATTTTATATAATGAAGTAATTTTGGCACGTTTCGGCGCGTTCACGCGTTAATCAAGACATACGCACACGCGTACGCTCATGTATGATTGCATCTCGAAGAGAGTGTCGTCCGTTCTCGAAAACCACCGGTCTTTTTCTCGGACATTTTTTCCGAAGCAGTAGAGAAACACGTAAGAAATTTCACGACAGCTGATGATGATATTTCTAGACAGCATCGTTTTAGGATTTCGCAAGACTTGCCGGGAAAATAGTATAACGCGAGTCTTTTTATAATGTAATGTCTGTCTGAACTGTCCAGAGCCCGAAACGTGGCTTGCCAAAAGCGCAACTTTTCTCGTCTTCTTCTCCGCACGCCAGCCTCACGTACATATGTACATGTGTATGTATATATATATATATATGCTGCGTGTGTACGTGTACACAAACCTAAGATAATCTAAGGTACATTCACAACGATCACGTACAGGGACTGGCAATATTTCAAGTAGTTTAAGTTACAGATTGTAGATTGCTATTTGTGAATCACGTATAAAATGTTACGATTGCGATCACGTGTGAAATTATCAAATCATATTCCTCAAAAAACAAGCGTAATTTCACCGAAAAAGGATTTAAAGATCCACATATGGAGAATTCCAAAAATTAAACGTTTTAAAGCATCGT